TATCTCTAGAGTTAGTTAGTAAGTAGTAGTTGTCGGTGGTAGGTTTGGGGTAGGTTAGTTAGGTTTAGTTAGTTAGTTTAAGGTAAGTTAAGTAATTACTTAGTATATTTTCTTATACTACGTAAATAGATCTCTCTCTCTCTCTCTCTCTCTCTCTCTCTCTCTCTCTCTCTCTCTCCTGATGACGTGCTTATCCAAAATTGTCACTCGAGTTCTCTATATTTGTAGCTTGGATTTTCTAAAGGAAGCAAAAAGAGAATAAAGACATTTGACAATAAGCTTATTCGTTTGATCCTACTGATGAATAAAATAAAATGAAAAGTATATATATGCCCGATGGGGCATTAAAAACCAAATGTGTAAACTTGTAGGATTTCTGATAAATAATTATGGTTTCGTGTAGTTTGCATTTTGAATTATGTGATTGTTGAAAGAATGAATTAATTTTAATTTATATGCTTTTCATTCTGAATTTTTTTCGAAGCATATTCTATGTCATAAATACTTTGAAGTGAATTAAATTATTCTTTTGAGGAGAAAAGTTATTTAAAAATATAATCCAATGTAACTAATGTTCAATCTGTAATGTTTCCTATTTGGAAAATACAGTTATGTTGATATGCAGCCACACACTAAGACCCATGACATTGATTTAATGGTATTGCAGATTGTTGCTAGTTATCTTAAATTGGGGTGGCTTTTACTCCATGATAACCCTAAAGTTCATAGGATTCATATTTGGTTAGTAAGTCTTAGCCCTTCTATTTGATTGCTAGAGCTATTAAGCTCAACAATCTAAATCCTGTAGAGTATTCCCAAAATTTCATATGAAAAAATTATATAAATCTAGATCCTATAGAGCATTCCAAATTCCCTTGCAAATAGAAGGCCGAGGGAGCAGAAGAGCATATTCTTTTAGCTTTTTTTAATCCAAGAGTGTGATGAAACCAAAATCCATGTGTTGAAATTTGAAGGTGTTCTGAATTGAACTGAAATATTTAACAATTATTGCTTGGTAATTGATACTTTGGTGATACTGTATTTCTCAATGATGCATTAGCAGGCGGTATTTTAAACAGGTTAGTCAGTAGAGCTTGTTTTAGTTATCAGTGCATTAGCATGCTTTTCTTCGTAACATTTGATTTGTTCCCTATAATTGGATCTTGCTGTCTTGACTGCTTGCATTCTCTTTAATAGCAAGAATTTCTGGTCTGTAATTGCGGGATATTCACAAAGCTTTTCAGAATTTTTAAAGTAATTTCTTCCTCCATCGTATATCTTATTCAATAATGTAGTGTTTCAACAAGTGATTAGTGTTTCTTTGATTGCTTCTTTGACCAGAACTCATAACCCTGATTTGCTAGCTCTTAATTGTCAAAATAAAAAAGTGATTTGATAGCTCGTAGGAGCCAATTTCAGTCTACATATTACCCTCAACATATGGAATGTTGTGGTCACAATTCCTTATATCATTTACAAAGTGACAGCATGATGACATCTACATCTCTTATTGTATAAATTTAAAATTTAGCCAATTGCAGATTGAAGTACCTTGCAAATGAAAGGAATGGGGCAATAACAATTACCCTAACCTTGGGTTCATTTGAATGCAGGTCAAGGCAGCTTACAAAAGGAAAGCATTGGAAACTCACCCTGATCGTTTTTCAATACCTGAAAAAAATCAAGCAGAATCTAGATTTAAACAGGTAACCATAAAGATTATAAATAAACAAAAATCTAGATTTGAACAGTCATTCATTTGAGAAGTCCTGTGGTAGAATTCCTCATTTATTTTTCCTTGATTTATTCAAAGAAAAAGCTGGCATGCCATGCTTGGAACCATGACTTAAAGATTAATTGTGTTTGTCTTGTTTATGATGGTGAACCAAGGTTCTAAAAGCCAAAAGATGGTGTCAACTTGGCTTGAGTAAAAGTTGAATAACTTAGCCTGTATAGTCTTCTATCATCTATCTAAAGTTTTTTTTGAATATGTTGATTGTAATGAACTGAAAGTGAGTACAGAATGTGAGAGGAGAGGGGGGCAGGATGCCCACAGATGGGTTCCGCCCAAAAAATAAGCAACCCACAAACGGGTGCCCTGTACAAAACCAAGGGTACGTCAAAAAAACTTTACATGATTTGAGCCATTATATTAATTCCAATCTGTGATAGGGAGTCGAGCAAAGGTTCCCTAAGGGTTGCTCAGGTTGGCTTGAGACACGGGAATCAGCCTCACCATTTCCTTCTCTCCAAACGTGATTCCACAAGATTTGTAGATTCCTTTTGAGTTGACAGATTTCTTCAAATATGTTGTCAAGCCTCCAAGGCCAGGGGGCAGTGCCTGAGACCCAAGCTATAAACCTTCAACGGTTACATAATGCCCCCAGCTAGTGTCTAACTTCCTGAGGCCTTCCCGGAGGGCAGACGCCTCTGCAATTGTTGAATCAGAGGCACCAATGGGAATAGAAAAGGAGCAAAGGGTATCGCTGTTGTGGTCGCGGAACAAGCCACCTATGCCTGCATGGCCTGGGTTTCCGAGAGAACATCCATCGAAGTTAAGCTTGATGTGGCCCTCTTCGGGTGGTCTCCAAAGGGGAGAGCGTGATGGCCTCTGAGTTTTGAAGGAGAGAATGGGAGTCCAGCTGTGGAGAAAGTCAGAGTGGCAAAGGTTTTTGAACGGTTTGTGGTAAGTGGCCCAGAAGATGACTGCTTCTCTGATCTTTTCCACTAGTGCATTCACTGGAGAGGACTTGCTTCAAAAATTCTGGCATTTCTCTCAGTCCAGATTGTCCAAAGCCGAGGCCTGCCACAGCAGGGTGCCGGCCTTAGGCCAGGGGGTTGAGAAGGTAGAACTGATGAGATGAGGGACATCAGGTGGAGTCACCCACTGCCATTGGAATAACTGAAGGATGTCAGCCCATAAAGACGAGGCTACCTTGCAATGGATGAAGAGGTGAGCATTGGTCTCCTCGTCCTCAGTGCACATAATGCATCTATTTGGGATTTGGAGACCCTTTCTCTGCAATTGATCTTCGGTAAGGGCTCTCTTGGATCCAGCTATTCAATTGAACAATTGAATCCTGGGGGAACCAAAGGGACCCAAACTTTGTTTACAATAGAATTGGGGCAAGCAGGGGGCTTCTTGGATGAGCTAAAGAAGAGTAGAAGGAGGCCACCGAGAAGGAACCCGAGTGGTTGGGAGTCTAGATGAGGCTATCTTGGCCTCGAAGGGGCGGGAAGACATAGTTTAGAGTGTTAGAAAGGGCTGTCAATTCCTGAAATTCTGGATCCGAGAGTGGTCTTCTGAGGGTAGGAGTCCACATATTCAAAGAAAAAGCTGGCATGCCATGCTTGGAGCCATGACTTAAAGATTAATTGTGTTTGTTGTGTTTATGATGGTGAACCAAGGTTCTAAAAGCCAAAACATGGTGTCAACTTGGCTTGAGTAAAAGTTGAAAAACTTAGCCTGTGTAGTCTTCTACAATCTATCTAAAGTCTGGGATTATCAGGTATAGGACAGGGATTTAAAGATTACTTTGGGTTACCGTAGTTAACGCCATGAACCAATATTGCGACACATACCGCATCCTCGGCTTAGAATGATCAAATTCCTCTACTGCTGGCTCTAGTGACATCACACAGTTGTTTAGAGGTTTTCACTCCACTGACATGAAAATGACAGCTCAATGATTACACACAGAGTATTAAGAGCACATCTCTGGGCCTTTCTGTTAGATAAGGATGACCCACTATAGGTTATATGTGATTAACTTGGTGAGACAAGAGAAAATAGTGTCAGCAGTCATCATTGTGGTATCTTTAAGACATATAACCTATTTGCCAGTTCCTTTTATCATTCTCTTAGATATGCCACTTAAGATGCTGATTTCTTGTGAGGAAGGGATGTGTAAGGTGGAGCTTTCCTTGGGAAATCTGTTCTGCTCTCTCAATACTTGAATTGCATGTAATATGTTTGCTTCTAATGCTTGTATCACATGCACTCAATCGAATGCCGAAGCAGACACCATCTCTAAAGATGGAGCCCTCAACAGCATCACCTGAGTTTTTGGACTCGCAATCGTTTAATAGTTTCCTGTAATTGTGTTTATATTTACTGGGCTATCCTTTATGGAGCAGTCCTATTTTTTGTATAGGTCTACTACTCGTTGGGAAGCCTATTTTTTGGGCTAGAGCCCTGACATGTGGGTGGCATCTACTCTATCCATGTTCTCCCCCTCTTCTCTATCAATAGAACAGTTAACAGTTTCAAAAAAAAGAAAAACCCGCTTATATCACATGCACTTGCTTGTAAAACATGACACATGTACCTTATTTTTTTTGGTACATATTGAGCACCTTTCTTTATTTGTCCTCATTGTCATTTGGGTGCCAAAATTTGTTTTCCAGTTTTTGCTTAAACATTTTCCCTCAATTAATTGAGGGATTTTTGTCTTTAATGTCAACTAAATTTGCTGGAACTAGTGCTATTTAGAGATTTTCTATGCTAGTGGGCTTCCTGTGCCATATCAGTTACTTTGTTTAGACATATAATTAGGTGATGCTCCAAGAATACCTGGCTAATATTTATTTTCCTTCAGTCCCATTTTAATTGCAGAATATTCATCATGAATTCTTTTGACCACTCAAGTGATCTTTCATTTCTTTGCAGATTGCAGAAGCATACTCACGTCTGCGTTCTGGTGATTCCATCACCTTTGGTCATTTCTCTAAAGCAGGAAGACCTCTTTTAATAATTACAAAACAAAGTACATGGAATGCACTAATTGACATGCATGCCTACACACATGCAAACCATGTATTTGTTCCCTTAAAAACGAAATAGCTGCATATAGATGATGTTTTCAAGCTGATAATTAAATTTTTTTATGGTTGTGCTTTTTTTTATTGTTGACTTTGATATTCTTTTGCTTAGTTTTCCTTACGTGGCCTTGACAGGTACAATATCTGAAGGTCCTACTCCATGTGAGTTTCACTGTATAATTTTTTTTTAAAAAATAACTGCCTATAATTTTCTCATTTCTTCTCTCCCTTTTTTAATTTCTATGGTCAGATTTCCGTGCTAATTAAATTTGTTTTGTTCTGTAGCTTACTATACAAGAGTTGTGAGAACTGGCGTTCCAAAATCAAGTGGGAGAAGCAACACTTTCTTGATCAAGGCCCCATTTTTGCTTCTGATTTTGGGCACAATTTCTCTTGGAGGTTTCAATGCTTCAAAGTGAGTACCAGCCCCTTGCAAATCTGATACCCATATGAGGTATTGGTTTGTTTTCTCACATAAATTTTATTTCTGCTTGGTTTTCCAGAGCTTACCAAAGGCAAAAGGAGGCGTATCCTTCACATAATCCATTTCTTCCTTAATACAAAAGAAGCACATGAAGATCATTTTTGGAATGTGTCCAGTTCATATGTCATGTTACCCCATGGGAATATGCCCATGTTTCCAGTCTCCCCTCTGGGATATGCAAATGTTCTGAACTTGTTGATATGCTCGCGAGTCTAGTCCCTTTTGGACAGACATGGTGATGTAATTATTACATACCCAACAAAAAAAAAATCAAGTATTGCAATTATTGCACATAACTCATTTTCAAATAAAATTTATTTTCTTTATAAATTGTTCATTATGTTTTATTGATACAAAATCTCAGTAAATACATGAATGCTGTTGTGAAAACTCTGAAAGAAATGGAAAGCAATTCGATTCATGGATTTCTTGTTGTGTATATTACTACCATGGATGGGGCACACAAAATTGGTGAGGTCGACCAGGCAACCCCGCTCAGAGTCAGGAACCTGGAAGTGGACTTGGCGGCTAGGGTTCTGGTCCAATAGACCTGGATTCGACTGTTTGCACCTCTACCATGGACTGGCTCAAGTTTCTGATTTGTCACTTCTTCATTGACTTTTATTTATAAATTTCACATTTGCAGTGCACACGCAAACATGTGCACAACAAGGAGAGAAAACTGAATACGAAGTGCCCCTCTATTTCTTGGCAAGAGCTTTGTTGGTGGGTCGTGGAGTCATTTTCTTCATAGTTATTTGTTCCTTGCCTGTTTCCGAGTGCTCTCTGGATGAGGAAACGATCAGGCGTGTGCATTGAGTGGTCTTTTTTCATTTCCTGAGTTCTGTGCCTTTAAGTTTCTCTCTCTTCTTATTTTACCTTGTTTTCAATAATTCAAAATCAAGCCTTCACTACCATTGAATGCCAATCTGCTTCAATGGCTATAGCAGCCACCATATGTCCAACCTTGACTATTCATTCAACCCCGAAAAACTTGTCCAAAAACTCAGACCATGTACCTGCACCCAAATCTGTCTCTCTGTTGGAGATGTGCAAAGACATGAAAGAACTATGCCAAGTCCATTCACAATTCATCAAATCAGGCCATATCAATGACAAATTTACAGTTAGTCGAATCCTGGCTCTTTCTGCACTTTCAGATTTTGGTAATTTGCACTATTCGCGACTAATTTTTTACCATATTTCAAAACCCAACTCCTTTATTTGGAACACCATGATCAGAGGATGTGTACAGCACGGCTCTCCTGAGGAAGCCATTCTTATGTATATTCAGTTGTTACAAAGTCCTATTTCTCCTAATGAACTGACGTTTCCATCTGTTCTGAAGGTCTGTTCACAGTTGCAGGCCTTAGAGGAAGGGAAACAAGTTCATGCCCAGGTCACAAAATTTGGGTTCGGCTCAGATGGGTTTGTGCAAAACTCACTGATACATATGTACTCAATGTGCCATGAAAATTGCGAGGCACGCACACTATTTGATAAAAGTGTGAGACCTGATATTGTATCATGGACATCAATGGTATGTGGTTATGCCAAGCTCGGGATGATTGACTCTGCGTTTGAGTTGTTTGAACAAATGCCTGAGAAGAATTCAGTTTCTTGGGATGCTTTGATCTTTGAATGCTCAAGGTTGGGTAGAGTAGAAATGGTCGATTCTTTGTTTCAAAGGATGCCTCGGAGAACTCTAAATTCATGGAACTCCATGCTGTTTTGCCATGCTAATTTTGGGTCGGTTTTGATGGCCCGTTCCCTCTTCGATAAAATGCTAGAAAGGAACGAATTTTCATGGCACACAATGATTTCAGCTTATGTGGACAATGGCTTATTGGAACAGGGCCATCAACTGTTTGGTCAGATGCCATGTAGGGACGTCGTAGCATGGCATTTAATTTTATCTGGGTATATGAAACAAGGAGAAGCAGAAATAGCGCAAAATTTGTTTTATGAGATGCCTGAAAGAAATGTCATCTCTTGGAACACTATGGTAGCGGGGTTTGTGCGGAATAGCCGATTTGAAGAGGCATTGCTTCTATTTCAAGAAATGCAGAAGGTATCAGAGGTGAAGCCAAACAATTGGACCCTTCTGAGTATCCTTTCAGCTTGTACTAGCTTAGGGGCTTTAGATCAAGGCCAGTGGATTCATGCGTACATTGAAAGAAACCACATAAGAAAGGATGCAATCCTAGGAACTGCACTGATTGACATGTACTCGAAATGTGGAGCCATGGGAAAGGCCCAGCAAGTGTTTCATGAGTCCACCGATAAAGATATCGGCATGTGGAATGCCATGATTTCAGGCCTTGGCCACCATGGCCATGGTAGAGAGGCCATAGAACTCTTATCAGAAATGTTGGAGTCAAACGTCAAGCCAAATGCAATAACCTTTGTGGGACTATTGAGTGCCTGTAGCCATGCTGGCTTGGTGGATGAAGGTCTTCGCCATTTCAGCCTCATGAGTGAGGTTTACAACATAAACCCTGGGCTAGAACATTACGGATGCATGGTTGATCTGCTTAGTCGAGCCGGTTTCCTTTTCGAAGCCAAAGATTTCATAGAAAGTTTGCCTTTAAAACCCAGTATCAAAATGTGGGGCGCTCTCCTTACTGCTTGTATGAGCTATTCCAATCTTGAATTGGGGGAATATGCAGCAAAACAACTAATGGAATTGGATCCAGAGGACTCCGGTAACTATGTTACATTGTCAAATATTTATGCTTCAAAGGAGCAATGGGCTAAGGTAGTTGAAGTGAGAGAGGAGATGAAGAAGAAAGGACTCAAGAAAACACCAGGTTGTAGCATGTTCACTGTAAATGGGTTCTCTTACAAACTTTTAGTTGGCGATAGATCCCATGATCAAAGAGAAAAGGTTTATTCCATGTTGGAGGAGATGGGGAAGAGACTGAAAGAAGCAGGGCATGTTGCAGATCCTACTCATGTACATTTGCGGCTCAATACGAGAGAGAAGGAAATTGAGCTTGCGTATCATAGTGAGAAGCTGGCATTAGCATTTGGGCTGATCAGCACAAAGCCTGGAACTCGAATATGCATCTTTAAGAATCTACGTATTTGTGGAGATTGCCATTCTGCCATAAAACACTTGTCGAAGATTTATAATCGAGAAATAGTGGTGAGGGATCAGAGCCGATTTCACTGTTTCAAGGATGGATCGTGCTCTTGCATGGAGTTTTGGTGATTCGATGAAGTCAATATCCGCTGGAATTGCGGGGTAAAGGTTCTCTGGTAAAATTCAGATAAATATCCCTTACATTTTGTGACACTTAAAAAATGTCCATGTTTTTCTATCTTACTTTTCTTTTTTCAAGTTTTTCAATTTTTACAAAAATATCCCCGGTTCAGAATTTAAATTTCCGAATGCGATATTTTTTCAAAGTGTGACATCGGATTTGAACTTCAAGTTACATTGTATTCTTTTGAGTGGTAGAGCACCTCTATTTTTTTTTTTTTTTCCTTGTGATTGACTGGTCCAAATCGTGTACAATATACCCTTCAATAGGAAATAATATAGTGTGATCCTGAGGTAACACATTGGGAAATAGGAAAATATAATTTTTTTCTATTTGAAAATGATCAATATCTGGGATTCTAAAGTGGATACCAAATTATCAGATAAAAAGTGCACCCCGCACAAAGAGCAAGTGTACGATGTGCAGCAGAGAAATGGTATTTCCTCAATAATCACTGCGGGGACCACCCACACCCACACCCACACCCAGAGAGGGCTTAGGTTCGTCTTGAGCTCTCATCAAAATTTAATTTCATTCAACTTGGTGGTGGTGTCATCCATTTATTGGGTTTTATGATTTTTGTAATTCGAAATTGTGCCAACTGACTTTGGTTGTCGGTGATTCCTCCGTTGGAACACTAATGGGATCCCTTCTAACCAAAATCCACCCTAGGTTTGAGGCAAGAATTTTGATTGTACATTTATCTAGGGTCGAGAATTTACCTGAGTTCGAAACTATAATTTTGGATCCTATTCTGATTCGGATATGGATCCAAGACTTGGATATGAAATATGGATTTGGATCCAACATTGAGAATAGAATGATAATTCAAATTGGATCTGGATACAAGTGGATTCAATCTAGCCAACCCATATTTTAAAATGGTATATACTATTTAATATATATAGTCATATATCTGTCAATTTTTATATATGATAGGAGTAATGATCCTATGAGACCCATGTGTGTAGGAACTTAAAGGATCGCCATTAAATTTGAAGCATATCTCTAAAAAAATTATCATATGAGTGTGAGATTTGAATTTTTTAGATATTTGTGTCAAATTTAATGGTGATCATTTAAAGTCCTACACACATGGATATGGGAGGGTCTCATAATATCATTATTCATATAATATATATAATTTTATAAGACCTAATCGAAATTCCACGTATAGTTTTTAAATCCAGATTCAAATCTGAAGATTTTGGATTCAATTGGATCCAGATCTGATTCTTTTCAAATCAGAATCGGTGGATCTAGACCCTATTCGAAAACTTCTCGAGTCTATCATTGATCACTTTTTCAAAGGCATTGCGATTCCTTTCTTTTCCGTAATCTTTAAGGAAAAGTTTAGTTGAGAAGCCACGTGTTTTTCAGGTTTGCCACATAATTTCTGCCCACTATAATATGCTTCCTTACAGGAAAAGTGGAAAACGAAGTATTTCTTTTCCATGTTTGCCACATAATTCTAAGGAAAAGTTGAGAACCCACGTGTTTTCCACATAATTGCTGCCCTCCTACCAAAATGGCTTCTGTAAGGAAAAGTGGAAAAACTAAGTAAGGTGGCAAGATATGCTATATAACCCTATTAAGCCCAAAGGGGTCAAAAATCTAAAGTTCTCTAGTTGAAAAAACGTAAGAACTGGCTAGTTAGATTGGAACAGGGCGTTTCGATTTTTGCCAATTTTGGTTATCAAGGTATTTAAAAAATAAAAAAAATTATATAAAATCTCAAAAAATAAGAGATTTATTTGTAATGTATTTTTAAATGGTTTTTTATGTGGTAATTATCATTAATATACCTATATTTTAATAAAATCATATATATAAAAAAAAAAAACCAACTTTCTAGAACCTCACCTACACATTTGTTCCCAATTTTTGGTTTTCGTTTTACGAAAATACCCTTCAAAGTATTCTTTTTACCATAAAGAACATTACAATAATTTAAATACCAAAATGTATAAAAAAGTCTTATACCATAATTCTTAGGATATTTTATACAGTAATTTAAATGCAGTAAAGAACATTACGGTATTTTAATTACCGTAATATATAAATATATTCTTCGTATCATTCTTATTACCGTAATGCTTTGAAAAGCTTGAAATCGAAACTAATATTAGAGCTATATCTCTCCTCCTGCTTTGTGACCTTTCTCTTTTTCTCTCTAAAACCCTCCTTTCTCAAAACCATTATTGGAGGAAAAACATTTGTCTTGAATCTTTGACGCATAAAATTTTGATTGAAAAAAGCTTACAACATAGTGGCATTGATAAGGCTATGGAGATTCTCCATTTGGTGTTGGCAGAAGGTCACGTCCCTACCATTTTGTTTATAATTTTATTATTGAAAGTTCGTGCAAAGAGGGGAGGTTTGAGGAAGCAAGCCAATTCCTCAAAAAAACAAGCTTGAACTAATTCTTATAGTTAATGTATTTTGCTTGGTAGTTACTGTGATCTTCAGAGATGGGAAGATGCAGCAGGAGTTATATTGGAGATGGCCCAATCTGAGCTTGATCTCAATTCTCTCACCTAAAACACTGTAATCAAATCATTTTGTAATGTTGGTCTTTTGAGCCATTCTACTTAGGTTTTAAAAGAGATGATTACTAGGGAGATTCCTACCAAAATAGAGACTTATGACCTATTGATAAAGACATTGTATAGAATAGGCAGGATCGATATGGCCTTGGAATTACTAGATTGCTTGTTTTCTAAAGCTCCCATTTTCATTACTGGATAAAGAAAAGTGGGTTTTATAGAGAGAAACTTAGAAAGTTCATCAGGAGGAGAGAGATAGTTCTGATATTAGTTTCAGTTTGAAGTTTTTCTACGATTACAGTTAATGTAGAATATATTTATATATTACGGTAACTAAAGTACCGTAATGTTTTTACGGTATTTAAATTACCGTATAAAATATCTTAAGAATTACAATATATAAATTATTATATGGAATTTTCTACACATTACGGTATTTAAATTACCGTAATGTTATTTACGGTAATTACGGTATTTAAATTACCGTAAAGTTCTTTACGGTAAAAAGTCTACCGTGAAGAGTATTGTCATCCAAAAAAAGCCTAAAATTGGAAAAAAAAGTGTAGGTGAAGTTTTGAAAAGTTGGGGTGTTTTTTTTTATTTTATTAAAATATAAATATATTAGCGATAATTACCATTTTTTATAACCGTGACAATGTTTAGAAAGTGTTTTGGTATTACTTATTTTTATAGTTTTCCATCTTTTTTAAAAAAATTTAAAAAAACCTCTAAGCACAAATAAATTTTTTAAAATTTATTTTTTCACTAATTTTCAACTTTATTTGAATGTGCTTTATTTAATCATATGCTTTAAACGTATTTTCATATTTTTTAAGATTTTTTTTTATTCTTCAACTTTATTTAAATGTGCTTTATTTAATCCTGCTTTAAATGTATTTTCATATATTTTTTATTCTTTCAGTACTTTTTTGACCAGCCGGGAGTTGCCCAGTTATGCCGGTTTACGGGTTACTCAGAACCAACCCTTGATCGGTTCCTAGGCCGGTTTGATTTTTTAAACCGGTAAGAACAAATGTTATCAGTTTCCTCATTGGGCTTGCAAACCAGATAGACAATTGATTTCTAAGTCGTTCAACAGATGATCGGTTTTTTATTTCCATCCACATGAAGGCCTTAGTTCTATGTGGGACCGACCGGCATGGACCGAGCTCTTTAAACAGCCTACACTTGCAGGACAGGTCTTGAATTGAACAATTCCGTATACGAAGACTTCACTGTAAGATCACCAGAGGTGGTCAACTCCCAAATAACAGTGTCATCTCTTCTTCGAGCATAGAGAAATGGCCGATCAAACTTGCAAATGAACAAATTTATCATCATCAGCTTGTCAATTCGACAACATCATCATCAAATATCCCAGGATATGATATATTCCGCTCAACACCTGTAATGGCCTCTTTCACAGTAACATGAGGCTGAACAACTCTTTGATAGAGTTCAGGGGATTGAATTTTTAGGAGCATCACCAGACCATTTTTGGATTCGAATGCTTGTTTTTGCCCTATCAGCTACCTTTAAATTCTATATTCGAAGTTGTGATTGGATCTATTCATTAAAAAGAATATCTTCGATACATTTCTTATGTCGCCATAGGTGTGGTGTACTAAAAGATTGGGTAGTCAAAATTAACCCCCAATTCTTTCAACAAAATGGATATTATGAAGATACTGGTAGAAAGTGGGACCCAATAGAGCAAGACATGACCCATGGTAGGACCCTGTGCATGCACCCACTCATTCAATCATTCAAAAAGGTTTCCAAAAGCAAATAGTGTAGATAGGAGGAAGAGAGCCCAGACAAGTGATGTACAGTATGTTGATCAAAACAACATTGAACGTCATAACCGCCATTTTTCCCCAACTTGTAATGTAAACATCCCCTGCTTTTACGGAGTTGCACATTAATATTCATACGGTGCAATAGGATCCAGATAGCTGACTATTTTAAAACCCGGTGATGTAGATAGGGAACCACCGATCCAGATCAGATTTTGGGAGGCGACCTAGTTTCCCTCCTCCCTCCCTCCTGAATTCCCCCATAAAACTAAATTTTCACCGGTTCGACCAATCCAGATTGATAGAGTGTGTGAGCAAACTAAAACCCGATTCCAGGTTTTAGAACATTGTCATGACTATAAGGCCGGTTGTTAGCTTGCAAACAAAATATAGATAATAATGAAGCATGGCACCTTGCTTCTTTTCTTCACGATCTCTTACCAGATCATGATGATAAATTCTTTCAATTTGGAAGTCTGGATCCAGCATTGCAAGTATTGTGCAAAACGCCACCTTCTCAATGCTCCTTCAAGCATAAACACAACTAAGTACTAATTATGAATCATCATTCTGATTGATCAAGTCCAAAACACAGTTGAAAATTTGCAGAACCATCATATCCTTCGTAGAAATAAAAACTTTGATCTTTGTGAGTCAAGATAAATTTCCATATTCTATCTTCCAAAGCCTATAAAAATCTGCCTTACCTACATAAATTAATATGGGAAACAGATATACTAAAGATAGAAGAACAAGACTATTATGACCAATATCCATTCAGTTCCAACAATGTCGACAGTCTGAAAGCATCATATCAACAAACACAAGTATATATATATATATATATATATATATATATATATATATATATAGAGAGAGAGAGAGAGAGAGAGAGACGACCGAACGTAGTAACGTAAACGTACGTAGGTACGGACGTAACGGTAGTAGAGTCGAGTACTCGTAGTAC